TAGTGCCATTGGGCCGTAAGACGAGCGCATTGTAGCCTGAGAAGACGGAGCGAAGTGCTTTGTCTCCCTAGAACTACACTAGGTTTCTTTAATAACATGCAAAGCTGTTGGTGGTGTAAGGTCTGCTGCTCGACGGCACCGAGTAGAATTTTGTGTTGAACGGGTCTAAAATCTTGCAGTGTCTTCAACCGCTTAAACTTTACTTGTTTGAAATTCATTTGAATTGTGTTGAATAGAACGGAATGTTGATTTGTTTGTCATTCGAGGATTTCATTCCTTACAAAATTTAGTCAGTCTTTTCCTCGATGATTCATTCCCGAAAGATAATAACAAGTGTTCATGTATTGATTGGCTCTAAGAATTGCCTGCTCATGCGATCTCTCACAAGCCATGACTGTGAGCGTGACGCGCGCCCGTCACTCACACGAGTAACGGGTCTAAAATCTTAGTGTCATCAACAGCTTAAACTATGTTATTTGTTTGAAATTCATTTGAATTATGTTGAATAGAATGGAATGTTGATTTGTTTGTCATTCAATGATTTCATTCCTTAGAAATTTAGTCAGTCTTTTCCTCAATGATTCATTCCAACAAATAATAACGAATGTTCATGTATTGATTGGCTCTGAGAATTGCCTGCTCATGCGATCTCTCACAAGGCATGACTGTGAGCGTGACGCGCGCCCGTCACTCACACGAGCGAGTTGCTTAGAATTGCCAGTGGCCACACGATCGATCAGTTCATTGCTATTCATGCGTCCTCTAAATTCATCTGCATAATAGCCCAGAGCGGGAGAAACCCGGCAAGTTTTGTTATGGGACACTATTTTTGAACGAGTAATTTACGTCTACGTAGACGAGAAATATAGTCTTTATGTGAGCATATCATGTATGATGTATGTGATAAGCGTATCAAATTTTGTGAATATAATGAACTGTACAAATATGATGGCTCTTGATACTGCACTTCCTAAATATTAATTAACAAAATTCACGACGCTTGCGGGCAACGATTCAAGCAATATAACAGGTGCGCGTGTTGTGTGATACATATAATTAAGAACCCATTACCTTCGAGGGTTCGAGCTCTACAATAGTCAGCACCGTTCACCGCTCATTGTTTTGATACGGAGACACTTCATATTTAAAGGAACTAGGCTTTCGGATGAGCAGTAACCGTGTAAGGCAATGTCCATGCTATATTACTAAGTGTGATGTATAGATAAAATGTGTGTGTTTTATCTGCAATAATAGAAGATGTAACGTACCATATCAGCTACATATCATTGCGGTGGAGGCAGCGTTTGTGGGGATGGGTCCTGCCTAAGATTTATATTGCACTAAATCTTGAAGATGTTCCCCAAGCTCCCTGAGCTTACATCAGCGGCCTATTGCCATTGGTCCCATTAAGAGTGGTAACGGGAACTTTATATCATGATGTGGCTTGCTTAATTATTTTTCATTAATTTTATTTTAATTTCAGATGAGACATCTTCACTTTTGCAGATAAGATCTCAGTTCTCTTATATTCAGCCTTGCAAAAATTCTATTCTGTGAAAATTTTTAGTCGGATTACTTCATGAACGTTGTAATTTATTTTTTTTTATTAATCGTCGGTCATTCATTGTTTGCTTCTGTCATTCATCTTCATGTAGTTTTAACAATCTGCATCTTTTGAGTGCAATGTACATTAGGAATATAGCATTTAATATGCAATCGACCACCAAATTCTAGCATAATGATGAACATTGAATCAACTATGAAGAAACGTCACCATTTTACAGTAAATGTTGTACTTTTTCGGAGTTTTTTCTCTCGCACCTACAGCTGAGAAGTTTTCAAAAAAGCTTTTAACGGAGTTCAACATCCCTCAACAGGCATTGACGAGAGAAACGTGACTGTTGCTATGGCATGCTTGGAAAATTCAAGTAAAAGACGGTTACGCTACTAGAGTGTCATCGTACAACCCTGAGTTTGTCCAAATAACGATGAACTTTTCGTCCTTTATGGGTAGATCGCCTTCACAAGCAAAAGTCCACGGAAGTTACTGCCAGCATTTAAATATGACTGTTGGCATTATTTGAATAATCCAGCGGTCAAACTAATTGAATCCGTTCATAATTGACGGTGTTCTACACATGTTACATTGTGCACACATAATAAACTTGGACCATTAACGTGTACAATGGAATTATTGTTCTACATATTCAATTGACAACAAGAAACATATTTGATGAAATTCAAAGAAATCAGAAATAAATTTTATTCCGAAATATTGCATACTTTAATACAATTCATAACAAATTCTGCTCGACGCTTTTATAATTACTATTATAATTGAACAACAACAGATGAGAGGAACACTTCCCATTCTTTATATTTCATTGTTGATAGAAATATTCCTATATTGACGCTGCTAGGTCAACTGTCTTTCTAAATAGGAACACTTTTTGCACATCTTCTAGCGAACTTCTGACAGAGTAATAATAAAACTTTCACATTTATCCTAAAAAATGGGAAAACCAACCCTGAACGTTGGTAGAATATGGCTTCTCAGATTGAAGAGTCAAAAAAGTAGCTGAATCCATTGAATTGAAATAAAAATATCGAGTAACACGAGTGACTCGAAGCTGTATTATAATGAAAATATAATAAAGTACCTCGCACTTGAAGGCCAACTCAAAATACTGTATTTTTAAGGCACAAAGAATTTATCATGACTTTCCTCCAATGAAACTTGTTTCATCAGTCAGTCAGTCACTCTCTGGTCTTCATCAGTCAGTCAGTCACTCTCTGGTCTTCATCAGTCAGTCAGTCACTCTCTGGTCTTCATCAGTCAGTCAGTCACTCACTGGTCTGCATCTGTCAGTCAGTCAGTCACTCACTCAATCTCTCGCTGGTCTGCATCAGTCAGTCACTCAGTCTCTCACTGGTCTGCATCAGTCAGTCAGTCAGTCAGTCACTCACTGGTCTGCATCAGTCAGTCAGTCACTCACTGGTCTGCATCAGTCAGTCACTCACTGGTCTGCATCAGTCAGTCACTCACTGGTCTGCATCAGTCAGTCAGTCAGTCACTGGTTTGCATCAGTCAGTCAGTCAGTCACCGGTCTGCATCAGTCAGTCAGTCACTGGTCTGCATCAGTCATATCTGAAAGACGCAGACTCAATGAATGCTATTGTCTACAACAAGGCAAAACAAAGAGATCTCTCGTTGACCCCTTCATGAGCATAAACTAACCTGGTCAGGAGGATAGACAAACCTGGTCAGGAGGATAAATAACCTGGTCAGGAGGATAGACAAACCTGGTCAAGAGGGTAGACAAACCTGGTCAGGAGGGTAGACAAACCTGGTCAGGAGGATAGACTAACCTGGTCATGAGGATAGACTAACCTGGTCATGAGGATAGACTAACCCGGTCATGAGGATAGACTAACCTGGTCAGGAGGATAGACTAACCTGGTCAGGAGGATAGACTAACCTGGTCAGGAGGATAGACTAACCTGGTCAGGAGGATAGACTAACCTGGTCAGGAGGATAGACTAACCTGGTCAGGAGGATAGACTAACCTGGTCAGGAGGATAGACTAACCTGGTCAGGAGGATAGACTAACCTGGTCAGGAGGATAGACTAACCTGGTCAGGAGGATAGACTAACCTGGTCAGGAGGATAGACTAACCTGGTCAGGAGGATAGACTAACCTGGTCAGGAGGATAGACTAACCTGGTCAGGAGGATAGACTAACCTGGTCAGGAGGATAGACTAACCTGGTCAGGAGGATAGACTAACCTGGTCAGGAGGATAGACTAACCTGGTCAGGAGGATAGACTAACCTGGTCAGGAGGATAGACTAACCTGGTCAGGAGGATAGACTAACCTGGTCAGGAGGATAGACTAACCTGGTCAGGAGGATAGACTAACCTGGTCAGGAGGATAGACTAACCTGGTCAGGAGGATAGACTAACCTGGTCAGGAGGATAGACTAACCTGGTCAGGAGGATAGACTAACCTGGTCAGGAGGATAGACTAACCTGGTCAGGAGGATAGACTAACCTGGTCAGGAGGATAGACTAACCTGGTCAGGAGGATAGACTAACCTGGTCAGGAGGATAGACTAACCTGGTCAGGAGGATAGACTAACCTGGTCAGGAGGATAGACTAACCTGGTCAGGAGGATAGACTAACCTGGTCAGGAGGNTCTTATTCGCCATGTAACACATCTAAATATTCAATCCAGCTAGAGGCATAAGTGCCAATGCGATAATTACAATAAATAGAAACATGTATGTTTATTTTAAGCTTAGCTACAATGAGAATCATATTGTAGTATCAATTTTAATTGAATTTCTCAGTGCGCATTCAAAACGAGTTGACAACAAAAAGATTACTACCAAAGAGTGCAGTACACAAGCTTCAGCGCACTAGTTATCGTCTAGTTTAGTGCCTAGGTTACTCTAGAGTACAGTGCCTAGGTTATTCTAGAGTACAGTGCCTAGTCTACTCTTAGAGTACAGTGCCTAGGTTACTCTAGAGTACAGTGCCTAGGTTACTCTAGAGTACAGTGCCTAGGTTACTCTAGAGTACAGTGCCTAGTCTACTCTAGAGTACAGTGCCTAGGTTACTCTAGAGTACAGTGCCTAGGTTACTCTGTACAGTACAGTGCTTATGTTACTCTAGAGTACAGTGCTTATGTTACTCTAGAGGACAGTGCTTATGTTACTCTAGAGTACAGTAACTAGGTTACCCCTGAGCACGGTCTCCATGTTACCCTATGTGTGCAGAGGTGAGGCACAGTAGCAGGCACGTAGTACTAGAGTACAGTGCTTAGGTTACCCCTGAGCACAGTCCCCATGTTACCCGATGCGTGCAGAGGTGGGGCACAGTAGCAGGCACGTAGTACTAGAGTACAGTAACTAGGTTACCCCTGAGCACAGTCGCCATGTTACCCGATGCGTGCAGAGGTGAGGCACAGTAGCAGGCACGTAGTACTAGAGTACAGTGCTTAGGTTACCCCTGAGCACAGTCCCCATGTTACCCGATGTGTGCAGAGGTGGGGCACAGTAGCAGGCACGTAGTACTGCGGGTACGGCGCGACGAGGGCAGCGAATCGCTCGCCACACTCGCGCTCGCGTTGGTAGTCGCATTCCCACGCCAGCTCTCTCTTCGCCACATCGATCACGTTGTCAACGAACAGAGCTGCGGAACACACGTTTTACCTCAGTCACGTTATTCACAAATAGCGCTGCATGACACACATTTGCATGGCTAATTGCTTATCAAATTAGTATTAGTAATATGATGACCTGAATCTGCTCGACTGTTTTTTCAGCGAAACATTTTTGGACTTCATTAAAAACGATTTAGTTCGAATTCTCCGAGCTATCGTGCAAAAACTCGCTGTTGTTTTGAAAAGTTTTTCAACCTCCATTTTAACATGGCAAGATAGCCGCTCTGACTTGAAGGAGCTTTTCAACATAATCCCGACCCATCATTCTCATTAAAAAGAAAATTTGTAACTTGCATTAGTTCGAAACTGATGTACTAATTCATTGTTCCATTGAAATACTTCTCAATAACCAGATATTGCAAAATATTTACTTTCATTATAAACTTGAAGCTACATATAAAGACCGACATAAAAAGACATCCGTGCTCAGGAACTTTTAAACAAATCAACATGATCAACAAAGCCATGCCTAGCCGCCTAGGAGAACCTAAACAAAATAGTGAGGGCGATGAAAGATCAACAAAGCCATGCCTAAGAGAACCTATATAAAATAGTGAACGCAATAACGACTGAAGGGAACAACAGAGCACAACAGACTCTCAGGCAAGATGTTGGCGACGCTGAGGGTCGTCATGAGGTTGTTGATGTCGCTCTCTATGCCCTCAGCCACGCCAGGATACTGGATCTTTACGGCCACCCGCCTGCCGTCGGGCAGCACTCCTTCGTGCACCTGTGGCATGAAGTCATTAGACAACCCAGCCTTCACAAACCCAACGAGCGATTAATAAATTTAAGAGCCTCAACAGACGCAAAGAGCAATTAATAAATTTACGAGCCTTCACAAACCAAACGAGCAATTAATAAATTTACGAGCCTTCACAAACCAAACGAGCAATAAATAAATTTAAGAGCCTTCAGAAACCCAAAGAGCAATAAATAAATTCAAGAGCCTTCACAGACGCAAAGAGCAATTAATAAATTTACTAGCTTTCACAAACCCAAAGAGCAATTAATAAATTTACGAGCCTACACAAACCCCACGAGTTATCAATACGTTTTGGTCAAATAATTCAGGTTCAAAACGAATAGCATGCACGTCATGCTTTCAACCTCATATAATCAATTTTCATTCAATAGAAAGTTATAAGCATTCAATACTAATAAGTGCTATATATCATTAAAAGTAAATCATGACCACTACTAACATGATCCCAATAAGCCAAATGACATTTTACTGGATCATCTTTCCGTCAAATTCTTCCTTTTTTTGAGAATATCCACCGATAACGCGAGTGAATCAATGAAAATGCATCAAAAGATGTAGAAAAATAAACATTAAGCTACTTAAAAGTTCGGAAAAATCGAGATATTATTTCCTCAATAATTATTTGACTTAATTTCAACCATGGGAAAGTGAGATTTTTAAATATTCATGTAGGCGCAACATCCCCCGGAAGCCACCACTGACCTGGCCTATGGACGCCGCAGCGAACGGCTTCTCGTCAAACTCCGCGAAGTGTTCGCGCCAGTTATCGCCCAGCTCTTCCTTAATCATTTTCTGAAAGAGAGTTGACCTGAAATTTCAACCGTGAATTGCACTAAAATTAAATCAAGGGAAGTTAATTTAAATCAAAGGCCGAACACACGTAGTTAGATCAGCATAACGTANAATTACGGAGCAGGCAATAAGTCCAGCAGCTATCTCAATCAATCGTCAGTTATGGAAAGATCGGGTTCCAAAGGCCGGATCCCTTGTGAATCAAGTCACGAAAAGTTCAAGAATCGGCAACAGGCCATGGGCCTATGTCTTCAACGCCGACACTTCTATTCTATTCTATTCTATCATTTCCAGTCTCTCCCGCTCATATGCTTCACACTCCATCATCAGATGCTCCACAGTTTCCCTCTTCCCTCTGTCACACATAAAACAAATATCCTCTCTTCTTTCATTCCACCTGTATGTCCGTGCATTCACACTAAAAGCATTTGCTCTCACGCAGAACATTAAGTCTCCACCTCTACTTCCAATATATATACTCTTACCTTGACATCTCCTTCATCTTGTACAATTTCAGGCTGTCCTTTCTTTCCATTCCTTGCTTCCAAACTCTTAAACCACACAATTTCACTCTCTTTTCCATTTCTTTCTTCAATTCTTTGACATCCCAGTCGATCACTGTTGCACCCTGTGCTGTTATCATCCATTCCTTTCTTGGTCTATTATTCCTAGGGCGAGCTCATGTTTCATTTAACTCGGACTTTCGTACTATTGCATGACACTTACATACATACATAAATATTTTTTTGGTTTCTGTGAGCGCATGTTCGTAACGAATATCCAAGAGTTTAAATGGGAAGATTATTCCTCTTGCAGATGCGAATCTTACAAGCAAGGACTATGCAGCATATAGCCTAAAAAATATTTCTTATCTAGAGCATTTTTTCACGACATTAGAAACTCGTATTTTGAAGAAGATTGCTTTAGAGTGACAATGTTGGCTACTTAAATGCAAACTAATCTGCGATAGAGCAATAATTGTTGTAATGAAATTTATTTATGAGTATTTATAACGACCATTGGCTAGCTGTCCCCACATAACAAATATAAACCCATAACGTCTGGACCTCAACACTACTTATGGCTCTCCTACTGGCCCAACCATACCGGACCTAATCTCTCGGTCATTGGCTGCAGGTAGGTGTAGAGACGGAGTAAGTGATCAAGTAGAGCCATGATGACATTATTTTTGTGAAATGAGGCAAGAAGTTAGCAAGCATAAAGCGGAACCGGTCATGTTTAAAGCGCTCCAGCGTGGTAGGCGTCTTCTTAGCTCGGAGGCGCAGAATGCCCATTGCTTGTTGACAGTGGGCTCTGGTTATAGTGTGATGCATACGACTGTGCTTCCGATTTCTATGATTGCTCTTAACCCAAATNCTTTATCTATATGAGTGAAAGCAAATTTTTCTTTTAATTTTCCGACGGGCATTTCGTTTCAGGACAGTATCACCTGTACTGAGTAGCGATTCTGCATCTTCAACTCCTAGAACACCTAATTCTCTTTTGAATGCCGTCTCACCAAGCGCATCTTGGCATTCCACAGACCAGAATACACGCGTCCACAAATCCGTCAATTCGATTGAAGACTTGCGATGGAGTGTAAAGTGATAAGCGATAATTTTAGTAGCGGCTTCGGCGTTTATTAGGCCGTAGGCCTGTCGCCGGTTCTTATCATCGCAGAACATCCACAGCTCGCTGCGGACTCAAACTCGCAACTCACTACTAAAATTCTGCTGTGCTTAACCGCCCGGCCTCATCGCCGATTCTGACCAGAAACTGTCACACAGAGCTGGGATCGAACCCGCGCCTCTCTGCTGCATTCTTGGTACTAGGAACTGTAACCACTGGGCCTTGCAAATTTTATAAAAATATTCCTAGAAACATGGACCGGATGTGCTGCAGTGCTGCAAGAATAAACAAGGTTCGAGAAAAGAATTGGATATAAAAAAAGGAGTATAATGAATATACAACGATATATTTGAATAAAAGCAACAACTGGACAGAACAGGAAGGCACGTTGGTCGACATGGGAGAGACAGTTAAATGCCTCATTTTGTGACACATTGGAAGCTGAGCGCATATACAACTACATTCGCCCTAATGTCATGATTAACAAGAACTCGAGGTAAACACGACACATTGTCTGAAGAATAAATCAAGATAATATTCATTATTACTAAAAGGCAGATAAAAACAATACTAGGTAGGCATCAATACATGGGCGAAAGGCAGCGAAAGATATGTAATTATACGCGGTTGCCCTCGCTCGCAGGAAACATGCCAGCGTCTTTAACGGCCACCTGAGGTCGTCATAATCACGTCTCATTAGCTTAGAGAAAGGCAGCAAAATGCTCACATTTGAATTAAGCGACGAGTTAAATTCATTTAAAATCGTGGTCACTAGAACAATTCTTGAATTAAATTTCAGTGAATTCGATGGTCCAAGCATGATATCAATGTTAAAAAAATAGAAGATAATCATCACACAAAACAATCGCAATAATTATGTCTAAACTTAAAAGTAAATAATACATGGATGCTAGAGTTGCGGAACGACACGGAAGTATTTTGCACACATGACACGGACGTATGAAGTGTGCATGCATATTCATAGTGTAATACGGAATTGCCTAAAAAATGCAAACCCACATTGCAGTCAGACACCACATGGGGTCCGACATCATAATTCCAAATAAAGATTTATTTACTCTAACGTCGATATGCCTTTTAAAACAATGAAGTAAATGCAGGCGATACTCAAGAAAATCTTACTACGGGTGACAAGAGAGTCTCGTACAGCGTTCCCCACACGCAGCTCAATAATTCGGATCAAAATGAATCATTCAAATAAACCTGATCAAAATTAATCATTCAAATAAGCCTCATCGAAATTAGTCACTAAAAATAAGCCAGATAAAAATGAATCGTCAAAAGAAACAAAAACCAAATGAATAAATAGGAAGCCAGCTCAAATCGTGACTCTAAACTTTTCATAACGATTTGCCACCTTCATACTCCCAGTAATTGAATAAATTACTAAATGGCGTAGTTATAGAACAACAATTGTTCTGCAGCTGCAGCAGGCACTTCTAGTAAAATTTGGGTCAACTAGGCGCTGCTGTCCATCATTATGATGATGAGACAGTAAATGATTCGTGTGCAAAGCGGAGCTAATGAACTTGAGTCCCAACTAAGCTCGAGTCCTAACTGAGCCCGAGTCCTAACTGAGCCCGAGTCCTAACTGAGCCCGAGTCCTAACTGAGCTCGAGTCCTAACACTGTCTCTTATACACATCTAGATGTGTATAAGAGACAGGCATACGACTGTGCTTCCGATTTCTATGATTGCTCTTAACCCAAATAAAATGTTTTCTCTGGCTTCACTAATCCTCGAAAACCTAACTATAACCTTTATCTATAAGAGTGCCACCAACCAGCACCAGGGGCCACAGCTATAAACTAAAAAAGCTGCGGTGCAACTTATCCACGCGACAACATTTCTTCTCGCTTCGAGTCACCGACATGTGGAACAGCCTCCCTGAAGATATTGTTGACGCTCCGAGTATGAACGCGTTCAAGAACAGACTAGACAAAGCCATGCATGAGCATATGTTTAGTCTTAAAATGGCTCGTACCCTACGGAACAACTGAAATCTAGAAGCGATTTTAAATCTACCGTCCGTTGAAAAGATTTGATCAAGAGGCCAGTCTAGCCAATAAAAGTACAAGAATCGGCGACAGGACAGGCCTATCCAGACCTATTCTTCAATGCCGAAGATACTATACTATACATCTATACTATACTAAGAGTGAAAGCAAATTTTTCTTTTAATTCTCCGACGGGCATTTCGTTTCATCGAGTCCTAACTGAGCTCGAGTCCTAACTGAGCTCGAGTCCTAATTGAGCGCGCGTCCTAACTGAGCTCGAGTCCTAATTGAGCGCGCGTCCTAACTGAGCGCGAGTCCTAACTGAGCTCACTAAGCACAATAGAAAGGCCACTTAGCAAGCTCACCCAAAATATCTCGGGAGATGGCATTCAAAAATGTAATCTATAAGAATATAATGCAATCACTAGGACCTATGCATACATCATTGTTTTTTCACCAATAAGAAAGAAATAACCGTTTGATCCGCCCGAGATGAAATGTGACAGTAGAAAATAACAGAAAAGACAAGAATCTCTTGCCAGAGTCAAAACCGTTGACGTTTTCTGAGTGCAACTCCGGTTGCGATGGCGTAATGGAAAGCTGTGATAGAAATAACATGCATAATAGCCAGTCACACGTACAAATTAACGTGTCGGACATCACATAGAAGCTAAAAAATTCAAGTATAAACTTACATATTAGGCGACACTAAACGATTCTTAGGTCAATGTACAAGAGCTATACAAAAATCGTACAATAAGAAAAACAATCAGATAAGATATCTTAAGTTTACGAAGAAACGTTGCGTACACATCGTCTGTATATCAAACGCGACAGGGTTTTTTTTTTGGTACATCAATCCTTGACTTCATCCAACATCGTACATCTTCACAAAAAGTACTTTCACTAAGTAGATGTCACAAAAAACATTGTATGTCTCACCCACTCTGTTCAATGTCTATCACCTTACCTCGTTCAGAAATACAATTTTTACTCAATTAACCAAAGTAACATTTCCCGCAAGTCAAGATAAAAAACACTCTGCAAGGTCATTAACTATACAAAATTACCCAACGAAGTTAAACACAAAATTTTCATTATATTGGAGATCATAAATTTTTAACTCGAGTGCTCGAGTGTAATTAAAAAAAATTAGGTGTAGCGAAAAATTTAAAGGTGAAAACCCCAGTTTAATAATTTTACTGGAGCAATTATTTAAGCGGAGAAGAAGTGTCTATGAACACGAGACTGACGCTGTTGAATTCTCCTTCAATTACTGTTGGAGCCACCAAGCACAAACTTCTTCGTTCCTGGTGGCATATAGATTATCTAAACCTACTGAACACACCATCAATAATCTGAACAATGAACATGTCAAGTAATAAAACTATACGGAACAATCAGATATGATATTCTATTTCTCGCTGTTTTCATGTTTCAAGCATAAAGATATGCAAGGGGTTTTAAAAATCGTCACCTTAATTTATTAAGAAATATATATATTTAAATATATCCTACAACCGTTATCTGAATGAGCGTTATCCGGAAATACTCTAAATTTAAAACCGCAAAATCACAATGTTATTCTCAGACCAGGAAAACTTCGGAGTAGCTGCTCAGAAATTACGTCTGCCGAGATCTAATTAGGTTGTCTATGATAACCTATACGATGCATTTTTCAAGCAAAGACAAACTAGTTGACACGATATAAAAGGTTCTCAATAATTTCAAGAAAAAAAGTAAACCCAAACATCGGTTTTCGGTAGCCAAAAGACTAAAGGCTAACTACTTCACTATCTACTCATTTAAGCAGACTCTGTTGGAAGACTCAATCTGCATTTAGAGTGAACTACTGCGATTTACAAGTTTCGCGTCACAATGCTTTATTTTCCGAGTCGTAATCAGTAAAACGACAAGCAAGCTCTAATAAATTTAGGAAACACCGCATGCCCTGCACACCACTTGACATACAGACTTCGCTGACCAGTTTGGTAGGCTGGTTACCAAGCATCTGACGTTAAAATTACGTGGATTAACAGTTTTTCAACGAAATTAACTCGTAATTAGCGTTTTTCCAATATCATATGCTTTGATACTTGCTGCCAGTAATAACTAGCGTGTGAAACTTGCAGTAACGCTCATCAAATCCCTGCTAAAAGAATGGATACATGACGTTGTTCAAGAAGCGTAATTTTTAGTGTTGCAATGATGAAAAAATATAACTCAGTTTACTCACTGCAGTGACTGACAGAGAGCGCATTTTCTCGTCGACGAAAACTTGAGGTCACGGACAGACGGACTGACAGACAGACGGACAGACAGACAGACGGACATGGCGAGCACAACAGTGCAGTTTTTCCATAAATGAGAAAATGTGCTAAAAATGGGCTGCGTACAATACAGCGAGAAAGTATGACTTATACGCTTGGTGTATATCGTCCGATTGCTATGGTTGTCACTATAACAGAATATTGGTGCATTGTACTTAGTTTAAGCTCACTTCAAGAAAGGCTCAGCGAATTAAATAATAATGAATAGATGAACTTATTGGAGAATCACGTACCTGGTGAGTTCATCTACATAAAAAGCTAGCAGGAGCAGAAATTATCAGAAAATCGTATCTAATTTCTCACCCAAGAAAATACAGGAATAATCAGGAATGAAAAAGAACGCTTAGATTCAATTAGTTAATGTTATTAATACATGCCTTATTTTTATAAACGCATTTAAAACCCTGGTTAAAAATGTTAAAAAGACAAAGAGCAACTCGCAAATGCGATAGTGTATGTCTTGTACAAAAATTCTCTCCTATCTCCGAAATAAATCTGCTTGACTAAACGAGCCCAGAAAATGCGTGAGCGAAAGCTTGCTATCCATAACGATCTCTTCTACATTTAGAATGAGACAGGAGCTCGTGCTGTAAAAATGCACATATTACAACGAAAAAAAGTCACAATAACTCTAAAAGATAAGGGAAATTTGTAAGCATCAGAAATTTAAAAGCGGTACATCATATACCTACTGAAACCCGATCCCGTAATCACAATTGTTTTCGTCTAAAAGTCGTTTTGAAGAGCACCCTGGTCTCTATTGGCACACGGTATTAGGCAGACTCTTATTAGTGGATCACGTCAACATGTAAGAAAGAATATCAAGCGAAGACAAGTTTCTATCAACACGAATTCTTCCGTAGTCACCGCCATCGGAAACTCTTCGAACGTCCTACTTCCTCCTGAAACGCACTAAAGATTATGTGAGCATGTAATTAACAGGTAGGATTTACCATAACATCCGTGATACTACTTTCTTTGTCTTCATATCCTGTCATATTTTCATGCAAATTTATTGAAGACTTCAATATTGCCAAAGTTTTAGTTATCTGCCAGTGCTTATAACTTGGCGGATGGTTCTACAACGTATGCGACACTCGGACGTACACACCGAGCATGCGACACTCGGACGTACACACCGAGCATGCGACACTCGGACGTACACACCAAGCATGCGACACTCGGACGTACACACCGAGCATGAGACACTCGGATGTACACACCGATAAAACGAATAGCATGCACGTCATGCTTTCAACCTCATATAATCAATTTTCATTCAATAGAAAGTTATAAGCATTCAATACTAATAAGTGCTATATATCATTAAAAGTAAATCATGACCACTACTAACATGATCCCAATAAGCCAAATGACATTTTACTGGATCATCTTTCCGTCAAATTCTTCCTTTTTTTGAGAATATCCACCGATAACGCGAGTGAATCAATGAAAATGCATCAAAAGATGTAGAAAAATAAACATTAAGCTACTTAAAAGTTCGGAAAAATCGAGGTATTATTTCCTCGATAATTATTTGACTTAATTTCAACCATGGGAAAGTGAGATTATTAAATATTCATCGCTCGGAAGCCACCACTGACCTGGCCTATGGACGCCGCAGCGAAGGGCTTCTCGTCAAACTCCGCGAAGTGTTCGCGCCAGTTATCGCCCAGCTCTTCCTTAATCATTTTCTGAAAGAGAGTTGACCTGAAATTTCAACCGTGAATTGCACTAAAATTAAATCAAGGGAAGTTAATTTAAATCAAAGGCCGAACACACGTAGTTAGATCAGCATAACGTATAACGGAATCGCCGGGAATAATATTATATTAGTGCGGCTTGAATTCACAATATTTAACGATTTAGGTTTAAAAATATTGCAATAACAGAATATTAATGATTACCGAAGTCAATCTTCTTTGTTCAGTATATATACATATCACATTTATCTTTAACCACTTGCGCTCAATGCAACGCCAGACATAACATCAAACTATAAACAATTGAGTGCATTATCATGATTAAAAATTGTAATCTTAAGCACTTGCAAATACGAAATCGTTTTTTGTATTTGTTTTGTTGATGCACTCGGAAAAATAAGAAAGACATTGTCCACATAACGATGCACTTTTTGTTTTCGTCTTGTACACCTTGTCCCAGTTAGGCCAGGCAAAAGGAGGAGTCGGTGCTTCGAGCATAAAACATGTAACTATTTTGATAATGAAACTCATTGATTTTTTTGTGAGCGTTCTGATCGAGTCTGTACAGTGAGGTATTTAATCAGAGAAAAGTTGGAGCCTCACGTGCAGTTGACGTTCAGGCATGAAGTCAGCAGACTGCCTGACGCGCTCGAAGATGCGCTGCAGGTCAGGGTTGATGAACGCGTTGTCTTGCAGGCTCAACATCTGGCCGAGCTTCAGCGCAGCGCCTGGAGGAGAACACTCGTCTTGTATAGTGAAAAATTAGAAGGTGATTTGTACCGTTCTCGTATATCTCATTTAAAGTAACTACAGTCATAGCTCTATACTACCAATACAATTAAACAATACCCATTACATTAGAGAACGGTAGATTAGATTGCAACGTCGTTCTGGATTCGAGCATTTCAAAGATGAAGAGATTTCACCTACGCATTAATTTAAAAAAAATTGACAAGGCCAAGTATTAATCACGTGATTTTTATTTGATATAAGCCATCACCCGTATTTATCGCAGTTCTCAACCGTCGTCAGGCTACATAATTTCTCAATGTTACTATCGTACGGTACCTAATGCAGGTAAATTTGTACGTACCAATGAAGTCCAACAAGGGTTATGAGCGCACCTCGCACTTTGCAGAGCGTTGCCACGATCCTGTTGGCGTTGGCCTCGGTGAGGAAAGGAGACGAGTCGAGCAGTCCGCCTCCCTGCTTGTCACGCGCGCCCCCCAGCGTCCTGCGTGTCATCTCTGCCAGGGTGCCCATACTAAGTCCCGCAGCCAGACTGCCGAACGACACCAGTCGACTCAAGCGCGAGTCTGGCACGCGAACCGCACGCGAAGAGTCCGATAACTGGCAATGACAGTGAAGGAGACTTGTAAGCTGGAGTAAGAGGGCAATTGCTGAAACCCCTTTGATATATCCTATATCCTCAATAGGCAAGACTTTACCAGGCGAACGACAGGCATTGAAAAACGATGTATATAAAAAGTAATTTAGAAAATTTTTTTAATTTTTGCGTGAACATACACCAAGTACTACCGTAAATTCGGAAACAATTTATGAAATCTCAGAAAAAAATACTGAAGTTTTTAAGCAGTTCTAGCGATCCATACCAACGAGATGGGTTTTTCCTTGGCCAGTGGCTTCTTGCCGAGCAACTTTGGAATCGGCGACACTTGACTCTTCATATTTGTCGAGGAAGGAGGTGTGGGCTTGACAGAAGAGAGTTTTATTTTAGCCTCATTTCTAATTTTATGACTTGACGCAATATCGTGGAGTGTGGATTTCACTCGGCTACTTGCATCTCGACCGACTTGATCAATAATATTCAATTCCGAAGTAAACGCCCCACCACGAATACTTTGAAGTTTTTCTTCAATTGCATCCAGCTGTTCTTCCGAAATCTCAGCATACTTGATCTCTGACTGTAAATTTTCTAACCTATTCTTCGTGTTACTAATGGTTTCATCAATATTTATAAGAACGTCGTCAATTGCGTGAGAAGCATCTCCTGCAAAGCGCTCAATCTTTTCGTTTTGGACAAGTTCACTCCTTACATTGAGATCGTCCATTAGCTTTCTATTGTCCGCAAAGTTTAAGTTATCCAACACGTCTGATTCATATTGTGATGTAGATTTAGAGGAAGAATTCTTCTTTAAGCCCAGTATCTTTTCCAGGTCAAGCTCGGCCACGGTCGGGTCCATTATAGGATCGTAGCCATCTGATGCTTTTCGACCAAATGGGACATCTGAATATATACAATGTAATAGTGAATACATTATTAGTATTTAGTTGAACAGTTCATATAAACCATCGAATATACTGAAAATGAATAAGCAGATTTTTTCTTAAGATATTACCTGTGGCATCTGGGCCCCATTTTGTGGCTGATGGAGATGGAGGTGGTGGTTGTTGGGGAGATGATTTGGATGAAGATAGAGGTTCTGAAAAGTTAGAAGTGGATGACTCAAATGAAGCAATTCGACTTGATATTTTTTCAACGCCTTGTTTCACTGTAGAGCTAAATACTTCTTGTGCAGAACTGGCAGCAGCAGAAACAGAAGCTGCATTAGCAGCCGTTTGTTTGATGGTCTTGGAGATCTGAGACAAGCTGCCAGCAGAAGCCTGAGAACTTGCTTGACTCATGAATGCTGAGACTCCTTGAGCAACTGTGCCAAGACGAGCAGCAACTTCCATTGGATTCAAGATGGATGCTGTACTTGTAGCAACTGGTCCAGCCTGATAAATTGTTTTATTTTAATTGGAGTGAGTAGTATTTTGCAGTCATTTCTCTAGCAAAATGATCACACACACAAAGAATGCCTTTACCTATAATTTCAATAATTTCATTAACTCAGTTACAGACAATTTATTCACATTCATTTAATTTAGTGAGACCTAAAACTTAAACTCTTATATAGGCTATAACCTGTTGTTCAGGAGATTTCTGGTTTTGTGAAGAACTTTGCAAAGGGTTTTGCTGCCATGGTGAGTGATCAGTAGCATTTGTTACAGCAGCTTTTATGGAGGATGTGTGCCAGTTGCGAGCTGCTCGTTTTGATGCTTGTTTTGCAGCTTCATTCCACAACAAAAGAATGCCACGCAAGACAGCACTTGCATCACCACTGCCACCACCTGACATAACTAACCTGCAGAGTAAACATTAATGTTGAATTAAAATTATATAGATGCAGCAGTTTTCTGCAAATGTCAATAGAAAATTTTAACCAGTAAATGAATCTCATTTTTTTCGTAATTGTGCTCAAAAAATGCTAATTGTACTAAAGGAAATATTTTAAGTATTAGTATATTGATTAACCAATCAACCCATTAGGTTAACCTACCTAATCTTACTTCTGGTATCTAAGCTTACTCACTCTAACTCTAAGTCTATGGTAGGATGAGAACTGAAAACAAGAAACAAATCCATAGACAATGAGCTGCCTATACATAATGTAATTCTTATAACTAAGACAAAAAATTACCAGAATAAATGTAAAAATTATAAATTTCTTAATAAAATTCATAATTTTTATTTCTCCAGGATAAATTCAAAGATTCAAATATATCTCCATTGACTTTCCCATAATAATTTCCCAATCATAAATAAGATACAAATCCTCATGCTAGCTAATAATTTTACCAATTCCTACAGCCCAAAGTGTAAAATTGCGCTGAAGCCACCCATGAAATTGCATGAATGCGACAAGCAATCCATGCTCAGTCTATTTTACCCATTTTTAATTTTTTAAGACCCTTAACTAATTTTTCAATAAAAATTAGGAAAATTTGCTGTTTTTTATTACAGTTTTTAAAATCACTTTTGGAATAATCTTTTTCCCTTCAATTTTAGAAAATTACTGCCCAATATTCCAGATTGACTAATAGCTCTCGCCAATTTTCTTGTAAAATAATAAAGAAAAATAGTACATTTTTGCAAGCAATTTTCAGAATTTACAGTAAAATACTAATTTTTACCCATAAATTTTAATTTAAAAATAAATATATTTTTTTTACCTATTCTACCTTAAAATACATTTATATATACTTTAAGCAATTCTGATAAGTGATAACTATTATAAATAAAAAGCAATACAATTATATATACGGATCGAATTGTCAATTACACAAGTAAAAAATCTTGTATGAAGTTTGTCATATGGCTTTTGTGGACTTCATTTCAAAATCTCTTAAAATTTTAGTTGTATTTTTTTTCTACTTTGATAAAATGATTCTTATGAATATAATATTGTATATTTGCCACAGTCAAATCAGGCAATCAACCACAAAATCCACAATCATCAATTTTTTTTATTAGCGACATATTTTTTAAAATTAACCTCTGATTAATATTTCCAAGTTATTATATATTCAAGGAGTTATTATATATTTAAAACAAGGAGTTTTGACTCATCTATTCTATTACCATTAGTGCTTATTACTGCTTTGCCTTTAGCTCTATTTTCTAGTCTCTTTTGAAAGTCTCGTTTGGTTTCCTCCCTAGCTTTTACTGTTTACTCCAGCCAGGTGCAGGTGGCATCAGGCCATCAGCCAGGCGCCAGCCAGGTAACTTGAGTTACTTTGACTTTAATTTACAGTAGTTTAAATGAAAAAAACACTTCCGCTTCGGCATTTGACATGACTAATTTAAGTCTAATTACCGATTACGTAACACTAACAGTAAAAAATTCCGGTTAAAAGTTACAATAGATTTATACAATCAACCAGCATTGGCATAAAAAACACTCAAATGACTGAATACATGAATATTTACGTTTCAGCGCGCCGATTTCTGTTTTCACGAATAATGACTTTAGCGTTGTCCAGCGAGTACTGACCAGTGGGCAGTGACCAGCTGAGTCTGCTGACTTCCGGAGCTGTGCCGAACGAAAAGTAAACAACTGTTATCTCCACCCGGCTCCGTATTTCGAAAACTAAAGACTGGATTTTTTAATAAATATAATAATTTGGCACGATGATCCAATCGATTCTTTGTCAGCCTTTTTGATATTGGTTTTTATCGCAGCGACAAATAAACATGTATTTGGATTTGGAGCGTGATGATTCTGATAAAAAAAGTCACTTCTAAACAGGCCTTTGCAACGGCCATCAGCCACGCATCGCAGATTCATTTGTTAGTAGGAATGAAAAAGGGAGACCGAGCCAGGTGGAAGCGACATTAAAGGAGAGGCTAGATGGGTGTGAAAGTTTGTGTTAAGGGTGAGATGAAAACAAAGGGAAGAGAAATTCACGAGGAAATTCATTTTGTTTATTATTGCTATATCCCGAATATTGCACTATATAGTTTACATTTATATTAGCTATGGAGCCTCTTGGGCCTTGAATGAATATTTATGTTATATTAAATTATTGTCAGTTGTTTATTCTAATTTTATTATTGCTTTTTTCCTTACACCCCTCAGCCTCTTGCCAACCTCCTCCTCTCCCTCACCTTCTATGCACTCTCCAAATATCGTTTTCACTCTCAGTCATAGCAACAGCCACCACCGTTGACAGGCCCACTATCATTGCAATCCATTCATCTCCTGTTCGCTCATACATCACATCACCATCCTCATCCCTTGCATCATCACCAAACAGTTCTTCTGATAACGATAAAATACTAAACAGTCTTTTACCGAGCATGACTTTCCGTAAGTCACACACGTTGATCGTTGGTGATTTTAATCATCCAGAGCTAGACTGGATAGATGGATCCTCTCCAAGGGAAGAGAATCACCCAGCATCCTTGTTCATGGAGTCAGTAAGAGACTCCTTCCTAGTCCAGCACGTTACCAAACCCTGTCTCTTATACACATCTAGATGTGTATAACACACCGAGCATGAGACACTCGGACGTACACACCGAGCATGAGACACTCGGACGGACACACCGAGCATGAGACGGAAGATTGAGCAGCGAAGAACGTTATTTGGTGACAAGGCAATGAGGCAGTTGCAAGGCAAGAAGGGAGAGGCAGGAGACTATACTAGGCAGTATATTACTACTGCTGCCTAGTTACGAGTACTAGTATACTACCTCGCATGTTACTAGTATATGAGGCAGTGCGTGGCACGCGGAATAGTAGATGACGGTATAACTGCTATTAATTGCAATAGTGGGACTGAAGAAGTATTAGATAAAGTGTCACTGCAAAGTACTGTGCCTACGGACTCCAGTTTTCACCTGAATAAGTAATTTCTTAGTGGACTGCATTATAGAAGAGTAAGGCTTTTTTTACACTGCTAAGCTTTACATGGCAAAACTAAACTAAAGAATTTGAGGCACGTCGTAAACTCCAAGTATTACTTGGTTGCTGACGCCGTAACAAATGCAGCCTTTTTTGAAAATGTACAGCAGTCTATTCTATGATTACCCGCAAAGGATGCAGAATTATCTTTCCAAAAATTGATGATAATATTAATACATAATAGGTGATGTGATCGGTACATGAAATGGCGACCGCAAGGCAGGACCGGTGAACGTCTCAACTTTTTAAACAAGCAGACGAAGAAAAGCACAAGGTTCCAGTCTAGTTTTGAACACCACATATACTGGGCACTAACACTTTACGTCTCGCGGAATTTATTTTGTCTGTTACGTGTTTATGTCTGAGTAAAGCGACCGAGTATCAGTCTTGCTCTGCCACGTTTTACGGGATTTTTTTACTTAAGGCGAAGGCAACTTACAATGACATGCCAGCGGTGGTACAGAGACAAACAAATGAATAATCGGAAAATAAAAGAAGGACCATCACAGGCCAACAGAAATGTCGTTAAAAGTCTCATTCCGATGGAATGATCATCTAAATATATTTGGCTGACGATGAAAGTCACGAGTGTCTTCGAGTTTACAAAACTAGTTATGCTTTCCACGGCGATTGAATATTCATCTCAATATTCATTAGTAGTCAGCTTTGTGAGATAGTGTGAAGGCAGCTGATAACTGTTGCCTGAAGTAGCTGATATAGCAAAAAGCACATTAAACTCGCTATCAGTATAAAAATGCAGTTATTTATAGTAAGTAGGAATCACAGTAGAAACAAAAGAAGAAAAGAGAATGTTACAGTTTAACTCGAATGTATGACTTGGGTCTATTGAAATGAGGTCTTTTAACTCATGACTGCTTGACCTTGTAAGTCTGGACCTTCTCCTTAACGTGTAGAAGTGCGTCGGTTTTGACAAAGTCCACGGTTTGGTACTCCACCTTCGAGGACTCGATGGCTTTAGTCCCGCTAGTGCTCGGGCGGCTCACATCGATGGCAGCGGAGCTTGATGAACTACCAGTCTTCTTGCCCAGCTGAGTCTTGGATGAACTGAAACTTGGCAAGAAGCTCTTGGTGTTTGACAAATCTGCGGTGCTTATCGCCGTGCTGCCAAGACCTCCGCCACTGTTCAGGTCCAAGTCCAGATACTGGATCTCCGACGGGGGAGACCTCACTGAGTTCGGTGGGTAGAACACCTACGAGATGTTATGGGTCATTTCAGTACTAGGTCATAAATAAATGAAATAAAAAAGTAGGCTCTTAAAATTTCAAAAATAGTGAAAACGTTGGCAATACTTGATGAAATCCAGGTTTGAAGAATAACATGTTCAAAAATACAATATTGGGCCCAAGTAAGATGGGTAGGTAGGTAGACAATATTGGACCTTAATTGGGTGAACAGATGTAAATCACAAACCTGTCTCTCAGACCAGTAACGATAACAGTTAAGCCTGCAGGTGCAAAGCCAAAGATAACAGTTAAGCCTGCATCTGCAAAGCCAAAGATAACAGTTAAGCCTGCACCTGTAAAGCCAAAGATGACAGTTAAGCCTGCACCTGCAAAGCACAGACCTGTTCCTCGGTGACGGCCGAGTTCCTCCAGCTGTGTGCGGACGGTGGCGGCTCCTCATCATCGGCTGGGGGCTGATGAGGCGACGGCAAGGTGGGCGAGGGCGCCGCCCTTACCGCGCCCTGCTGTCGCGCCTTGTCGCCGCCGGTTCTAGGACGGCTCCTAGGAGCAGGTTCTAGGACAAACTCAGGCGTGTTGTTGCCGTACTGGGCATCTGTTGCTGCGCTCATGCCGGTCCTAGGAGGAGGCTTCAAGTTGCGGTCGATGGCAGGAGCTGAGCTGCAGGGAGTGTCCATGCTTGGTGAAGTGTCACAGCCACTCAAACTCGAACCGTCTGAGGACGAAATTTTAGGTTTCAAGCCGCGGTTGATCGTAGGAGGAGGACAAGAGGGAGCTTTGCTTGAACCTCCTATGCCGTTGTTGATGCTCGACAAATTTGTGTAGAGAGCAGGACTGATTCTTGGGTCGTTTTCACCAGCTGTGTGGCTTGACGCGTTTCTGATGTCATAAGAGAACACGCTATCCGAGGTGACGCTAGATGGAACGGCACTTGAATGGCCATAACGCTTAGGAATTACAGAGCCCGCGCTCACTACTTCTGTGGGAAGGGAACGAGGGAAATCGTGCACATCATTGTTGATTGCACTCTGTGTGTTTATGGACGCTACTGAGCTAGACGCAGAGACAGGCGAGGGCTCTGCGTCTGAGTACGAGATAAAATTGCCGTCATGACTAGTAAGCGATGTGGAATTAGACATTTTACTAAATCCAGCGTCAGCCACACTGTTCTTTCGGCTGTTAGGGGCCTTAATGGAGTCTATATTCATGTAGTTTTGTTGTGGGACTTCCAAGTGTGCAGGTTTTGGGGGTCTGGGTGGGGCTTCAGCATCTTCTTGCTTAAGCGGATCCTTGACCATGGTTCTTATAGCATGTGCGGCCAAGTTGCAATCAAAAGCAGTACTTCCATGGTTCTCAGTGCCCCCAAAGAACACGGTGTTGTTGAGCGGCGTTGCTGATGATCGGTCTTCGTCGGTACACACGCTACTGCTGCTGCCAGTGCCCGGTGGTGACACAACTGAACTGTCCTCTGAGTTACTGCCACAGGAGCGGGTGGTACGTCTCCCAAATGGGTTTTGACCGCGCAGGCCTCGCGAGTTTTCTATGGACTGTTGGCTTCCGCGGTGCTTCGAATGGCCACCTTGATGTGGTAATGTTGAGGCGTCACCAAAGTTCTTCCATCCATTAGTTGAAATATTAGCTTCTAATACCAGAGTAGACGTGGAAGATGCGGATGGAACGAGGGTTGAAGACGTTGTATCGTGAGCCGACCGCCCCATGGGAGCAGGAGGAGCCATCTCACTAGGGATGCTCCTGCGGCGGTTACCGCCATGTCCATTATCTGAAGGGGCATTGTTGTTGTCCCTGTTGTTGGAGCTGGGCTTGCGGCCAGTGATACACTCACTTATGGGAATATATGGGCCAGATATATACATATTGGATTCAGCTCTGCCCACCGAGCTTGACAGGAATGCGTGATCGTTTTCAACTGAGATGTTTGTGGACTGGGTAACATGTGGCAGTGGATTTGCAGCAATCTGAGCAGGATGAGGGAAAACAACAGGATTGGAAGCCGTTGCATCGTCTACCTGTGCCTTCAAGCCACATACTTGACAGAGACAGTCTACCCAGTGGTTCATTTCTAGCTCAGTTTGACATCTCAAATAATACACTCGGCTAGGTGTACGGATGTCAAACATGAAATTATTCTCAGATGGATCTTTTTGTGATGCAAAAATAATTCCAGCATCAACCTGCAACAAATACAACAAAATCAATTACCGGTATTTCCATTGTAAATTCAAATCAATAAATTACTTCAAATCCTACCAAAATCAACACATATAAGCTTTATTGCATGTAAGATGGAGACACAAACTTACAGAAACTGAGAATGTTTATTGTTGATTCTAAATCAATAAATTTAATTTAAATCATGAACATTTACACAAACATCTGTATTAATAAACTATTACCCGTTATTAAAAACTGTTGAAAATGTTCAATGTATTCAGTTCCCATGAATTTATGAGTAAGGTATTTTGAAAACTGTTTTGGTTTCCTACAAAATAATAGGCACCAATTATAATCACATAACATGCAAACTTACAAGGAAAAATGATAAAAAAACAAATTAGAAATAAAGCACAGATGAGCTCTAACCTGTTCACACTGATCCAGGTCTATTCTTCCCTTAAGTTTCTTGCGGGTCTTGTCTACATAATATTCAAGAAGGTACTGACCAGGCAGATCCCCTGACCTCAGTACAAACCACCGTGTGTGCCATCTCTGCAGGTAATAAAAAGTGATTTAAAAAAACATTAACAATATCATGGATAAACTAAAAGGATTTAAAAAAACATTAACAATATCATGGATGAACTAATAGCATTGGAGAGAACTCTTGGTATTTCTTACCAATTTTTGCATGGAAAAAAATAAACATAAAAAATTTCTAGCATTAATAATTTGTTACATTGGCTCAACCTATGTGAATAAAATGCCAATTGCGAAGCATCAAGTTCTTATGGTCAGGCACAGGCATAAGAGAATCTATCTATCAGTCAGTGATAGATTGAAGGTGTTACTAAAGATCTCCAGATATATACCTGCCTGCAAACCCAATCATATATATAATGGCAAAGCAAAGACTTTTTTAGACTCTTCCTTTTTGAATCCTACGAGTCATTCTGGAGTCATTTTGAGTGTTTCTGGAAAATTGGGCAAATCAACCAAAGAATGAGGCAAAACTGCCCATGATTGTGGTCAGGATTGGAATTTTCCTACTCATGAATGAAATCTTGTAGCTCCAAAGTGACAAATTTTTTATACAGTTGGACTACGGTATTGCAGTCTGAATGTGCACTTGTCTCAACAATACAATGGTAGATAATTTATCTAGCAGGAATCTCACAGCTCAAAAAAAGTAGGAATGCTCTGGTTACTGCTAAAAGGTTTTATATATTCTATGCCTGATTGTGGTCAATTTCACCCATTTTTGCCACTGTGCAGAGTTTGGCAATTGTGTCAAGGTTTTAGACTCAAACTGTCACCTGTATTATTGAGGATTTGTTGCCAGAAAACCTTAAACCTTCAAGAAATCTTACCAAAAATACATGAAAATAGTTATTCAACAAGAAATGTGTTGGCAAGATTTTACGTAGACATATATTATGATGCTAATGTATCACTAAATGGGATTCTAAGGATTATTATTTTCCTACTTACTACTGAAATATCGCAGCTCCAAAGGGACAAATTTGCAGAACATTTAGAATCTTGTGGCCCATTCCCAATCATGCAGTTTTGATATGAAGTAGATTAGATAAGAAATAATTCATCTAGCAGGAATTTCCCATTTCTGAAAATGTCAGGAAAGCTCTAGAAATAGCTTGAAAGGCAGATATATTCCAGGCCTATCATGAGAGACATTTCAATATTTACCTATTTGCCGTTTTCTCTATACTATGGTATTTTGTGGCACTAATTCAATTTCTTCCATAATAAATACCGTCAAATGGGGTAATAAGTGATGGGTGGGGTAATAAGTGATGGGTGGGGTAATAAGTGATGGGTGGGGTAATAAGGGATGGGCGGGGTAAATCGGGATGCCCGTCCAACATTTCGTAGAAATGTTGTAGTCGCTAAACTAATCAAAAGATTGCAAAACTAAAAATAGTGGCATAAACTTCAACATTTTTACTATGGTACTAGCTATTATGTATAAAGCTAGTTAAGAAATCATACATTTACTATCTCTAAAAAATTGCTGAAAAAAGTGTGAAAAGCGCGATTTTGGAAAAGTACTAAGGTCTGGAGCAAAAAAATATTCACCGTATTAAAAAATTTTACTTACATAAAAGTTGCACACAGGTGTCGGCTTGAAAATGCGATTGACTGAATTTGCCCATCTCATTCCAAAAAAAAGTTGCAGCCATTTCTGTGCAACAGGGTAATAAGGGATACCCACCCAAGGTAATAAGGGACACCCACCCAGGGTAATAAGGGACACCCACCCAGGGTAATAAGGGACACCCCTAAAAATGTATAGGTATACAGTTTAACCTTAGTTAGCAAAGGCTCCAAATAATGCAAAAAAAAAACTATATAATGAGCCTAAATTTGCCTATGAAATGTTTTATGGTAAGAAGTTATTAACAAAAAACCCTCAAAACTGTCCCTTATTACCATACCCAGGATGGTGCCGTTTTCCGCGGATTAATCCGGCGTAAACGAGGCTCCAAGCCCTTCTACTGGCGTACAATGCGGCGTACAAAGAGCTAAAATAACGTTATTGGCGCACACACCCAGCGTACGTCCGCATCTAGCTTGTCTCGACGTACGTCTGCATCTGGGTGATCTGGCTTGTCCCGACGTACGTCCTCATCTGGTTTTGAGCATTTTAGTGCATACTAATGCAATTTAGGGCCTTCTAATGTGATCTAGTGCGTTCTATTAGGATTCATTTTTGCCCCTAATTTTCCTAGTTTGCCTGTAAATAATTATCATTTTCACCTCCAATTTTTTGAAAATTGCCCTTAATATTCCAAATAGGCCATTAAGTAAATCAGTAAAGTATCATGGATACCAACATCATCATGATATACCTAGAACATGGCAGTAGACTCCTACACCTTAAAATAATTTTTTTCAAAATGAACCAGGACAGCCGTTACAAAAATAAATTATCAGGGAAAAATTAATGGGACAGAGAGTAAAATTTGTACAAGAATAAACGCATGAACCAGGACATGACTTATGTCTGAGTATTGAGTAATTATGAAGCAATACAAGACAGAGACCATCAAATAGGTAATAACTTAATAAGGGATAATTTTGAGTGTTTTTGTTGATAACTTCTCATCATGAATCATTTCATTAACGAGTTTGAGCTCATTTTAAAGGGCTTTGTGAGGGCTATTGTATGGCATCTCTGAAAAAATCCATATGCTATATGTAAGGTGCCAAACCCAAAAGAAAAGCATCTCAAAATGGGGCGCTTTACTCAGAATTCTTTCAGACTCAGTGGACTGGAGACTAGAGCCAGATAGCATCTCAAAATGGGGCGCTTTACTCAGAATTCTTTCAGACTCAGTAGACTGGAGACTAGAGCCAGAGGGGCGTTTGCACTTTCCTTTGATAAATAAGTTCAAAAACGCAAATACACTCACCACTTTCAATAGCCTCTTAGGGGGTGGCGATTTCGTGAGCCAACCTTCATGAACAACTTCCATTCTCAAAATCAAAAAAGATAACTCAACTGAATCAACTCATAATTCACAGGAATCAAGTATTGTTGATCAACACGACTAAGGGATCTCAACTTTTACCTTACAAAGGCTTCAATATTTACCCTAAACTCGTGTACGGGAAATTATAACCCCCCAAAAAAGACATTCACTACATTCCGTCAAATTTTTGTATGTTGTAAAAATTGGGTGACAATCAACTTCATCTGCAATCGAAACTTTTGTTTTTATGAAATAAGTATACTGTGAATGATTATCATGGACTCAAATAGGCCAATACCTTAGCACTAATATTACGATGTTATGTTACTATGTATTGAGTTTAAATCAGATATATATGATATATCTGGGCAGTACTGAAACACGTTATTTATATTTTTTATATATATTGTTAAATTAACAAGCCTGAATAGTACTAGTTGCACTGGGTTTTCTCTTTGACCTGGTTTTAGGCTGCCAAGCTGCATGCCACCCGAAGCATGTAAACTAATAATGAAGTTTTCACTCTTTTTTCACTTTGATTTGACCTGCATTACGAGTCGATAGTTATATCAAGTATCACTTGTAACTCAATCTATTCAGGAAGCAGTACTTGAATTCAGGGACCTTGAGTCATAGGAGATTATGGTAAAATTATTCATTTCGTTTCGGAAGAAGCTTAGTGAAACTTATATCAACTGGAGTCAACATTTAATAAGGCAGTTTTTAAGAAAAAATGGAACAATAAAACTATTGTTATCATTCACAGGACACTTTAATACGACGAAAACTCGTGCCTACTAACTCAAAGTTCAAAGGTCTTAATTTCAATGCCACAAAATGATTTGTACTAACCAAACAGAGTAAACCTGTTACGTATTATCCAACCAACAATGCTTAACCTACGTCAAAGGTTCTGACAAAAATTTAACGACAAGATGAAATTATTTCTTGCAAAAAAATGCAATTTCCCCCTTTGCAATATGGTTTGCCCTGCGGTAGGAGAATGATGATTCATGTGGCCCGATGCAGGAAAGAACTCTCTTATTATTCAAAATAAATCTGAATTAAAAATAGAGTTTTGTTCTAGAACGAAACATTTTCTCTCCAGTGACATACAGTGCTTCAGTCCGTTAGCTGAAATATCTAAGTAAAAATATAAACTAATTTCGTCAAATATCCTGGAAGAATTACGATTTTGATGATAATTCGATCACATTTGCAAGTAAGTAGACTCAAATGAAATGAAACAATGTGGCTTCTGTAATTCGCCTCATATGAATTACCGAAAACCGGACGAATAACTATTGCGAGTAAAGTATCGTCAAAAATAATAAGAACAAAATATAATTATAGTGAGCCTTGGTTATGTGATTAAGTTTCGTTTAAATGCGACGCTAGCAATGAGTAAAAAAAATTACGCAACCACATTTATATTGAAATGGCATGCTTGTATTATACGAAAGAGCTCCGATTTCATTAAGAATACAGAAAAATTATTTCAATTAAAATAAATTTGGCTTTATAAAAGTTAGGATGACAACGGGCCAGCCACGCACAGTCCAATGGATTAAAAAAGTCTATAGCGGTAAAACCGGAACTGAGGTCTACGAGAAATAAAGAATTGGACGACTCAACTCAAATATACGAATATCAAATTTAAAAATGTCATAGGTAATTTTAAAGTTAAATTTAGAACCTTTGAGTCAGAAACCTAGAAAACATACAAAGATCATAGGCGTATGATACCATGCATTAGATCAAATTGCCATGAGGCAATATGGCTACACAAGAAAGATTCAAAGCTCACGGCATCTATACAAAACTGCGGCGCCGAGCTGTACTATATATATTGGCACTAAATAAATTGATACTCTAGAAAATTAATAGCACCTTCAAAAGATGCAATGCATCAAAATGAACCATCTTTCCTGGCACTTTTTTCTTTCGCTTGCACGACCGATGTTGAATATTGTTAAATTAAAAACTTCATTTTTCGTGCCCCGTAATTCAGCTTTCAGAAGATCATTGCCTTCACATGCATCTCTCTTGCCAGGCCGTAACAACTAAAATTGATTTATTTACAAAGAAATTAATATACAATAACGATGCACACCCGTGTAGTGAAGAGACAAACTTATATCGTAAAAGTGCATTCCTAGATCGACATTGTGACGGCAAGCTACGAACACACATCTAAATAAATTTAATACTTTAGGAAATTACCGATCATTCAGGCTTGTAGTAAAATTTGGCTCAAAACAGCTCGGGAGAAATAACACTGACATCTATAAAAATTAAGTAGTTAACTACCGGATTTTTTTTTAGATTTAGACAAAATAATTCAAGGCACATGGCTGGGAGGAGAATTTTCTCCACTTTAGGCACAGAGTTTTCAATTGGCACGGCTGGCAATAATGTTGAAGCAAAAGCGTTGGACTCGCATCATTTACGTTCGTTGGCTTTGGTAGCATAGACATAATAGCTTCTTTGACTGCCCATCATTCACAAGAAGATGGAGAATATAAACTTCGTATAATACAAAGAAAATGACATCGGAATTCAGTACCTAGACCTCAATTGAATCACAACGAAGCTTAAAGCCAGCACTACATAACAAAGAGCACAAGACTGACTCAAGGCGCCGTTTGTTCGGTCCTTGGCAGCAACGGGTTCGGGGGAACCTCCTTCCTCTTCCCTGTCTTCTGGCTCTTTCTTATCCTCCTCTACGACCGTGCCCCTGGAAGCATTCGGGTCCCAGTCGTAACCGTGCCTCTGACCGTTACCGCTGTGCTCACCAGTGGTATCCACAGGACGCACAATATCCACTTCAGGAGGGACGATTGGCTTCTCTTCATCGTTGGCTTCCTCGACCTCTTCTAGATTCGTGTCCTCAGGTTGAATACCTGTGTTTTTGATCATGTCCACATAGTCATAGTCATCGTACTTATAATCCTCGACAGAGTTGATGTCATTGTTTTCGTACTCGTCGTCTTCGTTCATTGGTTTCTTTGGACAATCGCGTTCGTCACTGCCGTCGGGGCAGTCGTTGACACCGTCACACATGTTCGCCTTGACGCACACTGCGCTGCCAGGGCACCTGTCAGGGCGGTCCGGAGGGCACGACCGAGCGTCACATTCTAGTTCGTCGTCGCCGTCCGCACATGTGTTCCGACCGTCGCAGACCTGATGTGAGACAAACATTAAGACATCTGGCACTCTATGCGTCGTCACAGGCCTGATATGAAACTAACGGGGAGAAAATTCTTGAAGTACTTAACAACTGCATCACAATACGAGACAAATATAAAAATGCTCATGAACAGCTAAAACAGAATACAAAGTTTATATTAAAATACTCATAAAATACCTAACAAATGAAACAGAAGTCCAGGTTGGTGATTTTTAATGGCGTCATGCAGTATTACAATCTCGTGCAATGCCTCGACTAAAGCGCATGAGCGGTCATCTAAACCACATCTGAAGACTTCTCTCAAATATTCAATAAATGAATTCTTACCGACATCGATTCTTTCGTTTCATCACTAAATGTCAGCCTAAATATAAATTTCAATATGAATTTGATACCATTCAAAATTTATGACCAGTAAAAAATACCCGTCAATACAGCGGCCGTTGTTGCACTTGAAGTTCCGCTCAGGTGGACACGTGAAGTTCGAACAGTTGTGTTCGTCAGAGCCGTCGCTGCAGCCGTCGATGTGGCCGTTACAAACCTGATGGCAAGACAACAACAAATCGAAATTGTCTCCGAAATGTTTTCAATAGAGATATGGTGAATTGTTGTGGAGTTTACTTCGCTTTTAAATTTCTAGTGAATCTGCGATTCAAGCAATCTAGTGACATTATTACTTGGGCGAATTATAAGCAAATGGAAAATGAGAATGAAATTCTAAACGTTCATACGAGAAAGTTACAGGTTAACAAACATTTACCAGTATTTCAATGATGGAAATCCTTAAATTTAAAAACTGAACGGAGTGACACCAGTTAGAAACTCCTACCATTGAACACAAGATGAAACATTTAATACAAACAAAAGAATACCTTGTTTACTTGTTTAACTGGCCTACATCAAGTGCATTAATACTAGAACATAATTTCAATCTCCTATCTTCATCCGATAAAAAATTAGAGAAAAACGGACTCACCGTATCCATGGTGATGCACTCTCCGTTGCCGCACTTGAACGGCCTGTTGACGGGACAGGCAGTTCTGCTGCACTGTATCTCGTCAGTGCCGTCAAGGCAGTTATAAATGCCGTCACACACGGCTGTGTTGTCCACACACATGCCGTAGTCACACTTGAATGACTTGTTACCAGTGCAGCGGTGCAGTCGGTGGCAGTAGTTCAGCGCCTCGTCTTCTCCTTGATCGCAGTCCATGAACTTACCGTCGCAGAGCTTAGACGCCGCGATGCATTTGCCGCTACGGCACCTGCACCAGAATAATAAGAAGGCTGCTGGAGTTTCTAAGTATTTGAGATTAAAAAAGTGCTCCAGAGTCAAAAGTCATGGATTGTTGTTATGTCATTGTCAATCCATGTATTAAATAATAACTCAACTTGTTGTGTCATGGATTGAATAACTCAAATAAGCTTTGTTTCGCACAATCAAGCTTAAAATGTTTCGTAAAACTAAGCTAATTAATTTTTTTGATTGTTTTGTTTTATGAAGTGTAACCAAGCTGTGTTTCTTGTTTCATTCATCAGAACACAGCAAACAAACTGGTTGACTTTGCTATACGAAAAACTGAAGGGAACGACAATGATTTTAAATGTTTAAAACAACAAGTTACAGATAAAAAAAACTATGAACCTAAAAGGCCTCTCCGGAGGGCAAGGAAATCTCTTGCAGAAGTTGAGGTCCTCGTCTTCACCCCCCGGGCACTGGTACTGATCGTCGCAGAGCTCAGAGAGCGACAAGCACAGAGTCGTCGACTCGCACTGCGCAACGCGGTCCGGGGGACATGGTTCTGTCGGACGCCATCAAATGGAGTTTGGATCAACGATACAACGAAACAAATATACTTTAAATTACCTAAATCAATCTTAGCGAGGTCTGGGTGAGACTTCAATATGGAGATGGAGCTAGGGAGATATTAGGAGGAATTAATTGGTTGAATATTAAACATATTTGGCCAAACATGCGTGTTCTGTCGGACGCAATCGGCTTGAGTAAGCAGTGAGTTTTGTGGAAGACTGGAACGTGGAGAATTGGAGATGGAGCTAGGATGATATTAGGAGGAAATAATAGGTTGAATATTGAAACATTCGGCAAAACTCGGCTCTGTCAAACACAATTAAATGGATTTACTAGAGACTTTTGTGGGTGAATGCAGCACGGAGATGAAGCTTGGAGCAATGTTGTGACAAATAATGTGTTCATTATTAAAATACATTCTGTTCAACACGGAGCTGTGTGACGTCATTGAACGGAGTTACCAGGGAGATTTGGGGGAGAGTGGAACAGGAGAATTTGAGATAAGAAAAATGTTGGGGGAAAATAATATTTAAAATATTATAACTGATTCTGTCGAACATAGCCCTGGCGGAAAATAGCCAAGTGTTTAGAGACACAGAAGAGTTTAAACCGGAAAAAAAGGGGCCTCAAAAACCAAAAAATACGATGTCTACTTTACTAAACGAAAAATTAAAACTACTCTGGCGAGGAAAGGACGGCTCTGTTGGTAGACAATATCTCGAGCTACCGCCCGTTAAGGTGTGAGTGAGAATTCAGCGTAAATATTATAAAAATTCTATCTATATTAAACAGCAGTAGAACATGATTATTAGAAGCACAGCCACATGTCCCTTAGTACAAACATACCGAGTGAAGATCTGCAAAGATATCTTCCTCCATCCTTATCAGAAAAGCAAGAACAAATAATGTGTTTTTCGACGCCCAATGTTCTGAACAATAACAAAGGAGTTTTATAGCCAACGAACATATGTTGGCCACAAATTCAAGCAAGTTTTCCTCATAAATAAATATTATGCTGCCGATGATGAGTGATCTAAACGTCCGGACAGAAGAGTCACTTAAATACTCTAATGACTACGCGTTTATCAGTGAATATCTTACTAGAATTAAATACAATGCTGTTGAGGAGCAAAATTTTTCCAACACTTGATTCAAGTTTCATAATATAGGATTCCGTGGGAACGTAGAATAGAATGATTAAGCGAAAAAACAGTGGATCGGATTACGGGAAGTTATCCGAAGTCCTTGTGCATTAAGCGCACGAACTGCTCAGATTATCTACTTGTTAGATAATCTCAGATTATCTACTTAGTCGATAATATCAGATTATCTACTTAGTAGATAATCTGAGAGTACGAGAATAAACGCTCTTAGTAGATAATCTCTTAGTAGATAATCTCTCTACTTACAAGTACAGCTTTAAAAATCATTCGAGAATTCAAAAATAATATTATGATACAAAAATTGGTTTAGTTAAGAAAACATTAATAGTAGGGAACTTTTGTATGTACCTCTCACTGCCTTTTTATGGTTTATTAAGGTAAAGTATCATTGCGGTGCTTAAAGATATATGTTAGTTTCTAGGCTTTGAAATCGATAAGAAGAATATATATCTACAAGCGAGAAAGAAGCTAAGAATAATTTGTAATTTCTCTCTTATTCTTTCAGCTGAGTTAATTTGATCGGGTCGGATTATTGGTAGGTAGTTATTTGTAACCAATTAGCATCTTTGCAATGTTATTATTAAGCGCGTTAGTGTCGCTAATGAGGAGCCAGCAAATGTGTTAGTAAAATTAGCAGCAGTATACAAGCGTAGATTTAGTGCAGACGCTCATTGTATGAAGCAAAAAAAGCTGCAGTTGAAGAAAATTAAAACGAAAAAAAGTACATTAGGTTACTGAATGAACAGAAAAAGATATTATCTATATTAGTGTCAAGAAAGGCAATGTAATAAATTTTCTGGTACATATTTGCGCGTTTCATGCGAAAACCTCAAGCGACTAAATAAATAATTTATCTCATCCAGAGAAGAAAATCAGAGACATCGTGCAACCAACATTTGGAAAAATTTTAAGTTTTGAAGATATCCTTAAAAAGTAATCTGTCGTCTGAGGCAAGATTTTGACAAAGAGCAAAAAATTCAACATGCAGATAACACAAGCAAAAAATCAACAGGCAAAAAATCAATTGATGACAAACAATGTTTAATAATCGAGGCCGCAGGATTTAATAATCAAGGCCGCAACAATTTAATAATCGAGGTCGCGTTAAATCGTTGGAACTGAATAAGCGCGAAATAAAGTTCACAGTTCTCGGCCACAGTTACTTCAGAACGTGTGTCGGTATCTTGCTTGCGTAACCAGATGGCTAAATAATGTTGAAAAATAACATCTGTGAATTTGGTGAGCATAAGGCGGTTGAGAATAACGAGAACAAGAATCTGTAGCAAATTAAAATAAAATATTGAGGTTTCATACGCGCGTTTATTAGTCATACAAAAAGAAGTTCCCAGCAACGAACTCTGAGCGGCAAGCGGCCGCCAAGGTCTAAGATATGGCCTGAAGTTTGGTTTGTTGGATTGCAATGTTGGGATGAAGATGATAAGAGCAGAAATTATAAACCATGAAACGGAATTCTACGGGATTATAAGCATCAAAAGCGACGTACTTCTGAGGAGTAAACCAAATTATAAAAATTGTAAAATATTTCTACGCAGAAAGAAGCATGAGGTGCACCGCGTGTGTCAACGTAACACGAAGAATCGAGTGCAGGTGGGCGCTACAGGAGGAAGGTTTAGAATCAATCAGAGGTTCACGTTTACAGTGAATTTTCTTTTTTTAAAGCAAAAATAAAAAAACACGGGACGACTTTTAGACGTCGAACTCACTTTGCCCTGGCGAGATGGTCCTCACCGTGTCAGCAGACACACATTGGGTGGAGGGGGGATGGCAGAAACCATAGTTAGAAATGTAGGACATGTCAGCTATGTAATAGACTAGTACTAAAGGTACACTAGCTAGGACAAAACGTCTAGTCTAAAACTAGTCTTAATTTCCGTCACATTAGGAAACCATGTTTGCACTAGCGGGTTAACTGTTCTATTGCGATACAATGTTATTTATGGTTGTTCATATTGCGTGAATCACAAGTTCGAAATTTCGTAGCAATTCCATATCAACTTCTTCATGCTGGAAATTCTATAGATAAAATTTAAAATAAACAATAAATAATATCTGAACGCAAGTGAATTTTTGTGTAGAGGGAGACTCGACTAATTTATTGGAGAAAATGAGCAAGGATGAAGGAATGATTTTGTTACTCGGGCTCCACAAGCCGATTGTCAAAAATAAAATTTAATATTTAACATTTGTGATAGAATTTTTTAACAAAAAATTCAGTAGAAAGGTATACATGATAGGCTATATAAATGTACATGAAACTTCCATTACAGAGATGTAATAAGTTTATATAAAGGGAGTGAGTATGGGATGAAGAAACGCACAGGAAGAGGCTAAAAAGGCAGTCAAATGGATCGAAAAATGAAGGGTAAAAAATTGATTAGATTGAAATAACATTCAACGCAAAAAGAGAATAAAAACCACCGAATGAATAATGTATTAGTTTATGTACATTTTTTACAGCTAAATTTCCAATATAAACGACAAGGTTCGAAGTCACGGAAATCATTACCGAGTCTTGTACTAATTTTAATCACTAGTAATGATCGAACTTTTAATTTCGAACTATCGCAAAAAATGTTGCATTTCAAAATTCTACTTGCATAAGTTCCAGCCTAGGTCAAGAAAAATATTGTCAACAGGAATTCTGTCCGGTAATTAGTGTATTAATGAAGACATGAGTGGTTTGTCCGGGAATTACTGTTTCGTTAACGACTTAACCATACAGTTCTCGTCAAGGTTATATGTGTAACAGACGCCTACGAAAATCGACTATAAGGAAACCGATCGAAAAATTGAGTTTATACGCGACAACTGAAGGGTTAACTAATTTCAAATAAAACCTAGCATATTTAATTACCTGGCTTTCAACCAAAGCCAAAAGACTCTTTGATTATTTATTAACTTTTGTTTGTAGTTCATATAGAGTATAATAGAAAATCTATTTGAAACGGAATAAATATAATATATATTTATTATATAAATACTAAATTCGTATTTATGGAACAGGCTTGAGCCTTGGATCCCATTTTGCCCCGTTTATAATCATTTAAAATAAACTCGTGACGATTTAATGACTATAAATAAAAAAGTTAAAAATATGATGAAGATTTCATGCAGAAAATATGGGACGTGACTCACTGCTCCAGCAGGTATCCTCGTCACGGCCGTTCATGCAGTGAACTCGTCCATCACAGAAGCTGTACGAGGACGTGCAGTTGCT